AGCCGTCCGAGGGCTCATACTCGCGGATGGTGGCGAGGATTCTTCATAGACCACCCTCTGCTAGCCCAGAAGCATTCCGATGCTTTTAGCAACCCTGAGAAGAAGGATAAGCCGAAAGTGTGGTGCCGGAAGTGCTATGAGAAGCACATGAGAAGGGAGAAGGATGCAGACCAAGAGCAGGTCATGCAAGGGCTGCGGGATGAGCATAATGTACGCTCTGAAGAGGAGATAGCAGCACCAAGTGCGTATTGGGACTACTCTGGCCTTAGCACAAACTAACTACTGGCCCATATCTACTAGTGTGGGCCGGCAACACGCTGACAAACCCTCGCGGGTCCCATCTTTGGCTTGCGGCAGCCAAGAATACATTGCTGATGCACCTTGAGAACTGCGGCGAGCAAGATCCATCAGTCCGACAGCAAGCCAGGGCAACCAAAGATGCCGGCACGTATCCAATGGCCATGCCCGTGGCGGTGGCACCGCTAGTTGTTGGTGGTGCCTATCCCACAGCTACGCCGGGCCATTATCTATATCCCCTCCCACCTCCTACCCACGCTGGACAACCAGGACCATCAACGGCACCCACAGCCGAGTTCGGAGTGGCTGATCCCCCTTCTGCTGCACATTTCGCGCTGAATCCGTGGCCTCTTGCTATGCTGCAGCCAGTTGGCGCCGCACAGCTGATGTTACCCTCCATCTCGCCCTCACCATATGATCTCAGACGATCTGCATCAAGTGATTATGGTACCCCTGTATCAACTGGAGGTACGTGCCCTGCTGTATTGCTTGAATTTTGTATTTATTTAATTGGAAATATTACTATAGTCACTGCGCCATCTCCGCTCAGTACCATCTCTGGACTTCAAGACCTTCCATTTGCAAGTTCATCTACTGTTTCCACTCCAGAGCTAGTGTATGGTCCCTATCCACTTGCTGGCAGCAAACGTCTACGGCGCTCACTTTCACAATATTCACTTGTACCTTCACCGCATCTATCCGACTCACCAAGCCTTGCAGCTGAGACTTGGTTGCCTCAGCGTCAGCAGCGATTTGAAACCTTGTTGGCTCGCCTTACAGCATCTGCAAATCTTCCCCATTCATGGGTTGAAGATTCAGAGTGGAAGCAATTCCTTTCTGAGTTTGTTCCTGGCGCACGCCCCTTCTCTCGGAAGACACTTACAAACCGCCTCATTCCATCAGCCTTGAGTGTCCTCAGAGCAGAATCACGTGCCAAAGTTGTGGGCAGGGTTGTAACACTTCATACCGATGGCTGGTCAGCTTCAAATTTCCACCACTTCCAAGGGTTCTCAATAACTGCGGAGCGACGAGTACTCTATATTTATAAGCTACTCATATATGAAGCTGACTTTTCTTTGCAGTCTCTTCCAGTTTCTCTCAAAGACACTACGGCAGAGCGCAAGACTGCGGAACTACTACTGGTTCATATCCGAGCTGTGATTCGGGAAGTCACCAACAACACGCCAGCTAGCTGGAGAGCATGCCTTATAGCCTTTGTCACAGATAATAGTGGCGAGTCTTTATCTGCTTGCAACACCATTGCTGTGGAGTTTCCAGGAATTCTGTGCTTTCCCTGCTACGCCCACCAGATTAATCTCATTGTCGGAGATTATCTGAACAAATGCGGGGCACGATTTTTGGCACAGGCAAGAATGGCCGATCAGCTCATCACATGGTTTCGTAGCCACCCCCGCATCCTTGGCCTGCTACAGGAAGTTCAACTGTGCACACGCCATAGAACTCTTACCATTATACGAGCTGTCATCACTCGTTGGATCGCACACTATCTTGCATATCGCCGTCTTCTGGAAGTCCGGAACGATTTTCAAATCCTTTTGAAAGAGGACGAGAACCGATCTGAAAGTCTACTCATTACTGGCAAACCTGAGGCAAGGGCAAAAGCAGAACAAATGAGCAAGCTTATAGAAACAGGCTACTTCTAGCACTCTCTGGCACGGTCGAGCTCTGAATACTTGTTTGTTTTAGAATTTTTCTAATCTTTGAATTTAGTGCGAAAAGCCATCTTGGATCGCTTGCACAAGCTGCGAACATCCTTCAGGCATCATCAACCTGCCTTGACCATGTCCCTCTAGTCTTCGGCATGCTGTATCATCACTTTAACTCCCTTCGCTCAGTAGAAGGAGCTGATGCAGACGACGACATGGCCTGCAGGACTATTATTTCCAGTGTCGAAAAGCGCTGGAAGGCTGCAGATCAGGATATCTTCATTGCTGCTATTATTCTCCATCCTGGGTTAAAGTTCTGTCCATTTAACCCTGGGGAGTTCAGCTTTGCAGATATTTTTATGCTGATGCAGCATGTCTATCTACGCCTTTTTCCTGCTGCTACAGCTCCTCCTCTCACTTTGGAGCAAAATCTTTGGTCATATTTAGAGGACACTGGGAAATTCAAGGGTATGGCCAGTCTTTGGACTACTAGACAAGCAGCTAGCAGCACAGAAGCAGCAACCTACTCAGTAAGCCATGTTCTATTGTTTCCTGCAATTGAATTCAGCTTAGCTAATTTATATTGCTACCAGGACCAGCTCTCGGGAGACGATCCTTTGCAAGTTTGGAGGGATATCAGGCGTGGTACTCAGCTCTGTCCACTGGAGCAGGTTGCTGAGCTGATCCTGCCGATATGTCCCAATAATGGCAGAGCGGAGAGATATTTCAGCCTACTCAAGCTTATCCTCACTCCCGGACGCTCACGGCTCACGGCAGACAATCTCACCAACGAAGCAGAGCTTAATACTCACATTCGTTGTGAGCAGGAAGCCTCGGGCACACGAGTCGATCGTGCCAAACGTAGGCACCGGCTCTACATTGATGTTTCGGCTGTCGCTCCCTCGTCACAATCACCCATGCCCACTCCTCCTGCCACCAGCTCTACAGTCCCACTACCACCTTCTTCGGCTTCTCCAGCACTGGCGCCACCAGCTACGCCAGCCAACGTGCTGCCACACATCACACTATGCGAAGCGAACGATGCGGACAGCGATGCGGAACACGATGCGGAACGCTCCGTCATGCTCCGTCACGTCGGCTCCCTGAACACCATTGCACAGGGCCTAATGCAAGATGCCCAAGCGGAGGAGGACCTTACAGAGGAAGACCATGTACCAATCACTCTGGCATCCTATGGCGAGCCATACAAGCTGCCTCTCGCACGACTCTTCAATTATCAGGACCGTTTCTGGGTGACAATGGTGGAAAAGTGGGGTATTCGGAGCTTAGACGAGGAACTTGAGGCTTATAGCATTGTTGACATGGATGCAGATGGAGATTATGACCCAGACTCGTATCCTTTGTAGCTAGCTATCTGGTAACTTATGGGTATATCATACATTCACTACTCGACAACACGCGACGGCAGACCGCAAAAGGGCGGAAGAGCCTGATGGCGTCCTGCTACGCGATTGGCTGCCGGGGTGGGACCCAGAACACTGGTCAGTCACGGTCATGTCTGACTTGGTCATTGACCAGTCATTGACCAGTCACTGACCGGCACAACACTGCTGTGCATGGCCGCCTTTTAACGTTAAATATTCGTAATTACGAGTGCTCGACAATGTACACATCAGTTTTCTTGGCGTTTTATATATTTTATAATTAAATACTGACACTACATGCCTCACGTAAATGTGCATTTGCTAAGATGGCAGAGGAACCGGCTCGGCCTCTTGCAACGCAGCAAGTATTCTATCCCTGCTCCAATACCAATCTACGGTCCCGCATGCCAAGGTAGCGGAGTCCTTTCGTGCCGGGTCGTCTCGGTAGCTGGTCCTCTGCAACAGGCGGTCGGCCGGCTGGACGGTGTCATGAATATTACACAATCCGGATGGTTCTCCCGGATTCCATGGTATTCTCTTACTTTCTATACACCTCCGTATATTCGTAGGATATTCTAGATATTCAGTCTGACATGTATATAAGGAGCTTGTACTGCTCAATAACAAGCCAGACTCGAGCTGGTCTTTCCTCACTCACATTCCTCTCGTCTGTCTCCTCAGCATTGTCGTAGCTCAGTCCAGTTGGATTGTTAGTTGCTGACATTAGCTCGAGTCTCCACCAACTGCCCTACGACGATCCTCGCCACTCCCACTCCAACCATCACACATCTTCACACGACAATCCACTCTATACGCGCATCTGACTCTCACCCTAGCTTCTAACCCTATCGACTCTACCGCATCAAGACCCCGGGAACCCTTTTTCGTGCACTTGCACATAACCACTTCCCTATCCGATCCCTGGTAATCCCTTGCTCCGTTGGAGCTCGACCAGGTCGTGTTTGTATTGGATTCGTGCCCCGGCCTACCATAGCTGGCGCTAAACGTGTTGCGCAGTGCACATGGTTATCCTGAGTACGACGTGGCAACCGGCTGAGGCTGGGCGTCAGAAAAGAGACAAAGCTTTGTATCAGCGATCCCTACCCCGGGCGTCGGA